TGATGTAGAGGCGGCAGCAGAAATGGGAATTGTAAAGCTAATTACCGACAGAACTGTGAAGAAGGTGAAGAACAAGAAGGAAAAGAAAAAAAAAATCAAAGTACGGTGGGATTTCTGATCGGACTGATTAGTGACAGCTCTGGAGGTAAACGTGGTAGATTTTATTTTCTGACATTGGCAACATGATGAGATGAAGAATGCTCCCTGTGAAAAAAAAATATGACCACCTCTAACATTTTTACATCTTCTCACTTTTTAACCACATTGGGATTTTGTGCAACAGACCAACACAAAAGTTTGAAGAGTTTGGCATGCTTTTGTATTCAACCCCCTTTACTCTAAGGTCCTTATAGAGAAAGAGACATAAACATCTGCCCATAGAAGTCACCTAATTATTAAATGGTTTCAGTCACTAATGGATCATCCAGTCATGTCAGGACCTCTGTGTTGTTGCCCACAAACTGGGCAGAAGTTTTTTATAAAGACTGAACAACAGTATCAAACCCGGTGGTGTTCCAAATATGGTTTCCAAAAACTATATCCATTTTGTTCCTCCACTTCAACAAACCGTTCTGCAGTTTAAAGGTATGATTCAAACTAATCAATTGGTTGTTTTGTGATAGGAGAATGCTGTGGTTGATCGCATTCTCAGATCGAGGTCATTAACACTCGCAAGCAGATCAGGCAACTGAAACCAGACGATCTATATGCCTGCATGAGAACCAAAGAACCCAATCAAACCATTAAACCCAATGCCCAGTCCCAGCCTACACCCCAACCTGACGACCCACCACACCACCCCAAATGGCAAACACACAACAGTGATGGAGGGAGACCCCAGTCCTCCCTCCACCTGCTCAAATGTGGTGTGATATGTGTTGTTATACGGTGCATTTAAAATAATAAAGTGAATGGCATAACTTAGTCTAAAGCCATTGTTTTTAACAGGGTCAACCATTCATGTTACATTTCTCTCAACTACCTTTGAAAGGTAAAACTACAATGGAAATAGGACAAAAGGCTGAACATTCTTTATTGTTTCCTGGAATGAACCATAGTAAACTTAAGGCTTTTTCTCCAGCTATAATGAAAATATGCAAGAATAAAGTTGAAGTAGAATGAGAATAAGTCCTCATAATAAATGATAATGTTACAGCTTTATTCTGGTGATATGACTATTCTCGTAATTTGACGACTTTATTTTCATAATGTATTCTTTTATTTTTTATCAGTATGGTCCTAATACATGAATAAAGTTAGTCTGCTTTGGGGTTTTAATGCTGTTACAAGGTACAACAACTGTTTCCCATAAACAGAAACCTGCGTAGAAGTGAATGCAGGCAGTTTTTATTTAGCTGTGACAAACGCAGAAATTAACCAAGACAAGTGCAATTAGTAGGTGAGGCAAACAGGATGAAAAATAGACTTGCTGAGGTTAGCATTAAGTGAAAAAGTAGACGCATAAGGAGAGAAAAATAGAGAGAGGCGGCAAAACAGGCTCGGGCTAGTCGAACGTGAGGAGGGAGAGGAAGAGCTCAGGAGACAGGGAGTGAGAAAAGGCAGAGTGAAAACAGCAGATATACACCGCGGGCTGTTTGTGGCCGGGTCAAAAGCAGCGGCAGTGACGGTACAGGAGCCCAAACAGAAGGCCGAGGAAGTGGCATTTGTTGATTTCACAGAGCGCCACGGACCGAGCAAAACAATGTTGAAGCAATCAGAGGGTAATTGCTCGCTAATGGCTCCCTTTTCTCTCTCGGCTTTTCTAATTGGCTGGAGCGCCATCTGCCCGCACGTGCGCGCCCCGCGTACACAAGCCGGCCGGCAAATGACACAAAGGGCTGGCAAATTAGGAAATAATGTCTTATGAATCAGACAAGTGGAGCATGAAAGATTTTTCTTCCAGTAGTGAGTGACCCAGGGGAAGCGTTTACAGTTTATACTGCTGTTGAAACCTTCAGCAGGTTTGCATTGATTTTTTTTTTTTTTTTGCCCTTGCAGCAGAGTGGATTAAATAACTGTGCAGACATTTCCTTTAATAAATGGATCCTGGTTAACGTGAAGCGAGTTTGCGAGTCCAACCAGCTGCAGCAGCTGATGGATGCACCCTGCGTCATCGGACGGAGTTTGGTGCACACTCACACCTTCACTGCCAATCATCAGGCATCTCTGCTAGCACTCTACGGGAAATCTGTTTTGTCCGTGCGGCGCAAAGCATCCTGGCAAGGCAAAGGCGAAATTTCGTACGACTAGGAAAAGTGTTTTAGAGAGTAGTAGTTGCCACGGAAACCACCTTTACCCAGGTCCCTTCCCTCCTTTTTGTTTGTTATCCTTGCAGGATCTTACCTAATTGACAGATGCAGAAACTCTGACAAAGACACTTCTGGAAATGACTAAACTCCCAGCCCACTTTTTATTTTATTTTATTTTTTTTACACACACCGGCTCTGCTTACCTCATTTCCTATTTACTGAGACATTCTTCCACACTGCCATATGTTTGTTTTTCCTGTGTGGTGCATCATATTTTTCAGAATACAAGCTAACAAGAGCGCTCATATCGGTTTTTCATATTTCACCTCGTTCCAACTACAAATGTAAATGTACGATGCCCCAAAATAGTGTGTTTTGCCCTTTCATTGCTGTTACAAATCAATAGCTGTGTTTTCATTACAAATGTACAAAAATATGTTGATATTCAGCTAATGCTGAAAAACACAATTTTGCAATTGTCTGAATAAGAAATGCAATCAAATTACATGTGAATAAACTTGATAAGTCATTAAAAAGAATGCCATGTCATCATCCCCCAACTACTTCCTGTTTTCTTGGTGGTTTGCGCCAGTGGTAACATCCGGTTGTTGATCACGTGAATTGTGTTTTTCAAAATGAACCAATTTTGATACAACCAAAAATACATTTCATCCTACCGCCAGAACATTTTCAAAATCAGCTATTTTTGAAATGTCAAATTGCGAAATTATGTGGTCAATGGGAACCAAGTACCAACAAAATGTGACCTTACCTAAAAATTTGAAAAAAATAAAAATAAAAAATAAAAAAGAACATTTAATGTCAAAGTGAAAACCAACTTTAACAAAAAAAAAAAAGACAATTAATAAAAGCAAACTGCTTAAATATTCACTGACTTAATTCAACAGAGGTCCAGCTAGTTGGTGCTTATATTCTCACAATGAGTGGAATGGAGGTCACCAGAGTGCAGTGAGTGTTTATCAAGTGGAAAGCCCGTTCACTGGTTTGTCAGTACTCATGGCAACCATTACAGTCTACATCAGAACGCCAAATTAAATATAAATGCTATTTAATTACATTTCTGTAGAAAAGGCATACATTTTAAATCCCTTTGAGGATTTTTGAAATATATTTTTTAGGATTAGGTATATTTGGAGCTTCAAAGAACATGCACTGCATTGAAATTAAACAAAACATTTTTTTATGAGTCAGAGGGCTTTACTGAGAGTGAGCTCTGATTCATTAAAATATTGTATGATTAATTTAATGTTAAGCAGGTAAAAATAGTTTTAAATATGTTTTTTTACTTGATTTGAAATATTGACCCAAAATATGAACACCAATGATTTAAATTGTGTTCATGTATGAGGGTCCATTTTCAACTAAAAACCTAGAGGTTGGAGTCCTTGTCAAACGGTGTTTTTGACTAAAGTCCCACAGGATTAGAGCCCCAGTTAAACGACATTTAACTGAAGTCCTAAAAGGGGTGCGGGTTTTAATGTTTTTATCTTTTTTAATCTTTTTCAAAATGTCTCTCTTTCTCACTGTTTTTTCAATGTCACATGCTGTTTTTATTTTAATTATGTAAAGCACTTTGAAATGCCTTGCTGCTGAAATGTGCTATACAAATAAAATTTGATTGATTGATTGATTTTAATTTTCCGAAATAATTTCCCCATTATGCACTACTTTGATTATACACTGAAAGTTGGGTTTATAGCATATAAAGTTGGGTTTATTCATATAGTATGGAGTTTCATGGCAATGTATAAGACAGAAGGCAGAAGATATTTTGTCTCAATCATCCTCTTCACACAGCAATTGTATAAACATTGTGGGTTCACCAGGCTGAAACAGAGGTGTCAAGATACCAGCTCGGAAAGTCAAGGACAGCTACACCTGGCTGAGATTTAAAAGAAAAAAAAAAGTGATCGTATGCATCATACATAATAGATTTTGTTTTCTTTCATTGCTCCGCTGCTCCTACAGCGACGGAGCTGGCCGCGGGTCTGTCTGAACGCTCGCCTTTCTTTGAATTCCTTCTCAAACGCTGCCTCCGTCCTTTTCGAGTCCGTCGCCACAAACACCACATTCATCTGAGCTGATGCAAACACGAGCAAGATAACAGAGTTGGAATCGCTCCATTGTTGTCAGCTCAGTAAAAACAAAGTCTTCAAACATCAGCTTGAAGAAACAATGTTGAGAGCTCAGCATTGAAAGGCGGTGCCGCTCTCACACGGAAAAGATCAGAGGCAAAAGCCTTTTTAATTTCAATCTGTGTGTGCCTGCTAGACGTTGTTCCAACCCAGGGCAACGTGAAGTTTGCTTTTATTATACATTTGTGTGATGCAATGGCTTTTTCCAACCATGCTTTGAGTTAGCTTCATTGGTTCTGCTGTTCTCAGATAATTGCTTTCAGACATAGCTTTTATTCTACTTTACGATCTTTTTCAAACTTTGCATCTTCAGGTTTTACACTGGTTTTCACATCGTTGTTAGATTATTGTGCAGAGCGATTAGATTCGATTCAGTTTAGTTATATGGCACTAATTCACATGATGCAACCTCTCAGTCAATCCACAGGGTTTGTTAGCAACTGACTAATCGGCGTTTGTGATCTGCAAAATGCCAATTACCTGGAGGAACTGAAGCTGCCTAACCTCCAACAAGGTGTCGGGGTAAAGAGAAGAGAACTGTACCGAGGACCAAAACCTGTGGTACTCCAAAAGTAACGTTGGAGTGTGAAGAGCTGTCATTTACAAGAACAAACTGGAATCTGTCAAACAAAACAGACTTAAACCAGCCCATTGCTGGTCCTTTCATTTATAAAGACATTTTGACCAGTGCAAATGTAGACCTGTTTCAGCGCTATGATGAACTCAGACTTGACTGAAACTCTAGCTGATCATTTTTATGCAAATGCTCATACATTATACATATCAAATTAGCATCCATAAGGACAGAAGAATCCAATGTTTCCCAGCATAACATTTCAAAACATCATTCACCAAAGTTCAGTTCTGACACTCGTGCCCATCGCTGGTGCTTCCAGCAGCGGACAGCCCATATGAACTCGATGGATTGGTTGAGGCCCTGACAGATAAATTGCAATGGACAATGTGTCTGGACATGTTGCTATGGGAAGCAACAGACACTTCTTCAGAAATTTAAGCTACATGGAAAATTTAAGTTAGCTTCTAAAATGTCGCAGGAAAAGAAAAAGCAATTTAGCCGTGTTTACATCCACTGGTTTGCAGCAAATTAACCAGGCTGCATAAAGTGCAACTTAGTCAGATGCTGACCATAAGAAAAAGGAAGTAAAGGCTGCAAACCAGCATGCAGCACACGTATCAGAAAAACACAGAGAGAGGTTTTCAAGAATGCGATGTAATTCTGTCATCTCAACTAGTATTGGCAATGTTGCATACTGTCCAGAGACAGGAAACTAAAACAGAGACACTAAAAGCGAAAACGGCTGAAAACAGCTGGATGTTCGCTGCGTCAGAACTCATTCGTAAAAAGCGCTTCCGTCTTTTTTGGACAAGCCAAAAACCACCTCAAGCTAGCGTAAAAAAGTTTTAGCAAAATTTGAAAGTTATTTCAAATGTTGCCATTCTTATCAACCTTTTAAAATGGACAAGGACACACATCAAATGAAGCCCAACCCGAGACACAAACATGTGAAGTATGTACGGTAGAAGTCGTTTTTTTCTCTCTCACCATGGCTGTACTCGTGTGTGCTGTGAGCTGCAGCCCAGCACGCCACGGCGCTCTGCCACTCGTCCCCGAGTGTGACAGGAGCAGATGTTGAACTCGGCGCCAGCCGCAGGACTTTGAACACAACTCCCATCAAACAAAACCGACTCCCCCCGCCTTGTGGACAGTGGCTCTGCAGGCCACTTCAGCTCCTTTTTTTGTGTGTTCATCATCTGCTGATGATGCCTGAAGGAAAAAATAAATAAATACACACACACATATATATATATATATATATATATATATATATATATATATATATGAAAAATCCAAAAAGTTCCACTTAAATTAAAGCCCAGGCAAGCGTTTCGGAAAGCTGTTTCATTTTCCTACCTTGTGGCGCTGATGTCACTGCGCTTTGACTGATTGAGTTGTCAGAGTATTTAGGTCACCGTATGAGATTTGATGGACGTGGAAGTGCAGGGGATGATGGGTAAATCGAGCAGCACGGCCTATAAAAAGGTCAGACAGGTTTGCTACATGAGCAAATTAAAAGGACATGGGCTGAAACGATTAATCGGGTAAATAGCGATTAATCGATAATTTAAATAATCAAACTTAGCAATCGATTAATCCAGGGGTGGCCAAGTCCAGTCCTCGAGAGCCACCATCCTGCAAGGTTCAGATGCATCCCTGCTTCAACACACCTGAATCAAATGACTGCCTCGTTATCAGGCCTCTGTAGAGCTGATCCCGGTCTGTTGGAGTAAGGATACTTCTAAAACTTGCAGGATGGTGGCTCTCGAGGACTGGACTTGGCCACCCCTGGATTAATCGTTAAGTAGAGCATACAGACTCAAAAAAGGCCAACTGCTGGAAGAACAATATGTTAAGTAATTAAGCCAAAACTGTTCAAGAAAATATATAAACATTTTACATTTAAGATGAACAAAACCTTTGTCTCTAACCCAGAGTTCCTGAAGTGGCATAGTTTTAGCTTCACCTTATTCAAATTTAGTAAAACTAAAAAAATAACTGATTAAGCACATTTTACAATCCAGTTATAAATAACTTTATCCAAACAATCAACAGATCATCCCTACACTGAACTAATGTTTTTTTTTTTTTTTGCTGTAGATTCATTATTCTTTGCAACAAATAATCAAGTGTCCATTAAATAAATGCCATGTTATTGCATGTTCGGCAATAAAATGTTTATTTTCTCATTTTAAAAAGGAACTGAATTGTTTTTAAGCATCTTTTAAAGATGGTTAAATGGAAAATCAGCAGAATGTGACTACAGTTTTTAACCAATTAATTGATTAATCGTCAATAGAATAATCTCTAGCAGGAGCCCTAAAAAGAACTAAAAGAGGAACAACGGGTGCTTTCACTTGTTTGAGTTTGTCTCCTGGGTGTTTCCAGCTCCTACTCTGTTACATCCTAACTTCTTCCTGGCGTTTCGAGGCAGACAGCAGGTCGGGGTTCTGAACTAGCAACCTGGTGGCCACTTTGAGAGGGAGCCGGCTCCCCTCAGAGGCGTGCCGGTTCAGAGCTCCTGGCAGAGCCTTCTGACAGGGAGCAAACACACGTGGGAGTCGGCCCATCTGTCTCGGCCTCACCTGCAGCGGTTCACGTCTGAACACACTCACGTACGCAACTCGGCCGGACAGCGAGATGTGAGAACGTGTTGGCAGTGACTAACGATGGGAGCGGTGAGGGAGAACCAGCCAGGAGATGAAGTGATCAGTGCATCAGGCAGATCAGACTTTTCCTATTTCCCCCCAAAAACTTGTTCTTCTGATTTTTCTTCTCTTCCTCACAAGATTCGGTTTGATGGATGTAATATTGTTGATTTCCTTTTGAAATGTGTGGCTTTACTAAATGTATTGTTTGAGGTAGGCAACACAAAGTTTGAACTTTAAAGAATTAAAACCAGAAATTAAATATGGGCTTTGACTGGGCCACTATAACATTAGAATACATTTTGATCTAAACCGTTCCATTGAAGCTTTGGTTGGGTTTTTAGAGTTGTTGTATTGCTGGATGGTGACCTAAACCACAGCTTCAAGACCGTCTTCTAGAACTGCTCTGTATTTACTGTAGCTCGGTTTCCTGTAAGTTGTCATGAGAATTTTGAGAGAACTTTTAAAATGTCACAAAAAAGGAAAAAGAAGATGCGAGTTTAGGCGTGTTTTCATCGACTGGCTTGGAGAGAATCAGATGTCAACGTGACGCATGGTTGTAATAAACACGATGTAGAGGTTGCAAAACAATAGAAAAATGGGGCATATAAGATCAAAAACTGATTTTTTTTCTGAGTTTTGTGGATGCGAGTGTTCGCTACTTCAGCACTTATTTAGCAAACGTGTTTCCATCTCGCCTTTACTGCTTTGGCTCTTTTTGTGAAAGCCAAAAACCACCTGAACAAACGTTAAAACTTTTTATTTTGCGAAATTGACAAAGATGTTTTGAATTTTGGCGTTTCCATCAACCGCCTCCAACGCGCATAAACAAAGACGCAAATGGAAAACCTTCTTCTCACCATCTTCACATCAACACTAAGCAGCGGGACTATAAACTCATTCTAAAAGGTCAGATTTAAGGAGAGAGTCATAATTACCTTGCCGACAGATTGAGGATCTGGGTTGAGGATCTCTGCAGCTGCTCCAGAATCACCCTGGGCCTCTCAGCTGACTCTTCATTTAATGCTCTCCCTGCTCAGTCTGTCTGTTATGGAGGACGACCACATCTTGGTAGGTTTGTGGTTCAAATATACTTTTTTAATTTTTGTATGTTGGATTAAACTCTCCTCTGCAATTTGAAAACTTAGGGCTTGTTTTATAACTCTAGCCCTTCTTTAAAACCTACTTGCAGCTTTACCCCCACCTGATGCGCATTATTCAAGTATTTAAAGTTAAGATTAGTTGTGGGTTATTCTGAGGCTGTGGAAATTGCAAAACTAGAAACGGAGGCAAAACATTCCAGGAGACCTCCTGTGTAGGGTGAAAGGTCATGACCAAACATGTGGTCTACAGATGATAACCTGGAACAGAGGAGTTGAAGGGTCATGTAGTTTACTATATTTAGGGGTGACATGGCACACTCTTCATGTTCTTTTTTGTAGGATAAATGAATAAATAACCCAAAAACCAAAACAGTTTATCACATTAAATCCCAAAAAAACACACTGACTTTTGTGCTTGGACAAAACTGGGATTCATTTAAGGGATTTGAATACTTTTTCAAGGCACCATTATAATTTTGTATCCCTATAATATATCTGAAACATATTTATTGATTAAATCTACCGTATTTTCCATATTAAAAGGTCACGTCAGTCAAAAAATGTGTCATAAAGAGATAAAAAACAAACACAAGTCACATGACGAGCCAAACTAAGAAAAAAGTGTGACTTGTATACTAACAATATATATCGCAACAGAAAATTGATTAGTATCAATACATAACATCTGGTAGAATTCTCATAAATGTCGCTGAACTCTGATCCAGAACAGCATAGCACTCTGGGAGATGTAGGCAGAGGAAAGGCTGTTGCTGCTCAATCCCTCACAGCCAGTTAAACTGGGATGGTGGCATCAACCAACAGTCACTTTTTGGTTACCTAGCAACAACCTGTTGAGTAACTTGTGCAGCAGCAGCTTCATGTTTGGTCACCTGCGCCTCATAACTGCTCATCATTCTTAGAAAGAAACAGCCTGGAGTAAAAACTGTGGATGAAACATTCGAGGTCGTGTCACCAGTTTGTCAGAACTTCAGATATTTAAAACAAATAAGAAAATCAATGATTATCAATATTGACCGATGCGATATGCTTACATTGCATCAGCCCTATTCTCCAGCCGTAGCAATTTTATAATTCAGAAAATCTGGCGCAATTTGTTGTGAAGAATAATTTTGAGTAAGCATTTGTTGTCACGGTAATGAGGAGCCGGAGGAATAACCAAAACATTTATCTGAATTTGAAACAAATAAGCTGTTTACAGCTACTTTGCATTTTTTGCTGATTAGTTTCTATTCGAACAACACAATAAGGACTTCATAGATTTTATTATTGTTCATTTTTTTTGCCATCCTGAATCCAGTTGAAGTAAGTGATTAATTTCTCAGAGAACAGTCTGGGCTCTTTAATTCCTGTGGCGTTCGGCGGCGGGGATGGAGGGGTGGAAAGGTGTGTGACAAAGAGAGAGGAGGGGTGAAGAAAGCAAGATAAAAAGAGAGAAGGACAGATTGTGAACGAGCAAAGGAAAGGTGGTGGTGGGTTCCACCTTAAGCGGGGATTCATTACCATGCATCTGTCAAAGCGCCGACGGAGGTCTTGTTGCCAATGGCAATGTGGAAGGGAGTTAAAGAGCACGAGCAACCCCCTCCCACCCGTTTTCTTTCTTTCTTTCTTTCATTCCCTCCTTCCCCTCTCTCTGAATGTCTCGCCTGTCTCTCCGGCTCTCTCGCTCTGAGCCGGAGCAGTTAGACACATCAGCATGTCTGTCATTGCTCCGGCTTTGCCATCTGCAGAAGCCGACACTGTGCAGACAAGAAAAGTCCATTATCGCTTCCCTCACTGTGACTATTTATCTCTCTCACCATCTCTCCCTGTCACTTTCAAGCCCACCCACCTACCCCACCCTGCCTGCTCTGCTACCACCCACCCACACAAACACACACACACACACACACACACACACACACACACACAAACACGGCATCGACTGGGACTGTCACGGGCAAAACATTGCATCACTTGTCTTTCCATCTTTCCTCAGGAAAAGTGGCACTGAGCACACCTTTTCCTCCAAAAGGGAGGTGGATGTAAACAATGTGTTTGTTGGGGAGAATATTCTATGATGTGTGTGTGCTTGTGTGTGTGTGTGTGTGTGTGTGTGTGTAGACTAACTGAATAATACCCCAAACACCTATCGTCCATGTGTTCCTTCCATGAGACATTTAACCCCCAACTGCTCCAGCGGGAAGGCTCCAAGCCAACCCACTGGATCAGAAAGTTTGGTTTCTAAAGCCGCCTGGGACCAAAGTCAAGGCTGGAAAATTTCACAAGAGGAAAACAAAGAATTTTAGAGAAGCTCCGATCTGATAATATCGGCATCGGTCCTGATATTGAAAAGAGTTCTAGATCGGGTATCGTGACAATGTGTCCAATCCATAAGGTCAGATCTATTCAGTCTAGTTCTATACTTCATGCTCTGAGCGACATCAAGCCTTACTATTTACAGCTCTGGGAAAAAAATACAAGACCACTTAAAATGATCAGTGTCTCTGATTTTACTTTTTATAGGTATGTGTTTGAGTAAAATGAATATTGTTCTTTTATTCTATGAATTACTGACGCCACGTCTCTGTATTTTACATTATATTTACAATTCCTACATGCACTTTCTGAAACATTTGAAAGGTTTGTTGCAGTTTACATTTACATGAATGACCATGTAAATGTAAACTTACAAAAACGACTTGTTTTTGTAAGTTTTCAGTTTCA